AGTAGTGTCAAAATAAATAGTATTGCAAATGCCTTTCCAGATCTTGAACATGGTGAGCAGAACTATAACATAATTTTATGTACAGTATATATAATACGTACTTGGCTCCAAAAGATTTATCATCCAGTGACTCATAATCAATTGGTTTTGGCAATGCATAAATAAATACAAATCAGTTGTGAGGAGATTATTTGCAATGCCATTGCATCCTGTCCTATTCTGAATATAATTTGTTATATTAACTGCAATTATATTAGAAATACGAAAAGATAGGCTCTTTAGGCATATCAGCACTCATCTCTTTTATTACAGGTCATCTCAACTAATCCGCTAGAATCATATTACAGTGAACTAAAATGTACAACACATAAAAAATACAGGCTTATAGGTATGTATTTTTTTTATGTGATGATCTCTATGATAAATTTCTATTAATATGGAATACAGTCAAAGCTCTATATAATAATAGATTGTTGGTAAATCTATTTTTTAGAAGCATCTCATAAAATCGTGGAGCTTGATAATAAAAAGCAGCTTGATTCAGAAAAAGCAGTCTTTAACTTCAATCAGAAGCAAATCTTTATAACTGACCTTGATAATGAGATTCTTGAGGAAGTTCATCAATTTTCATATCCTATTTAAAAGTTAATTACAAATGAGGCTATGGCCATGAGTGCAAGGATTACAAAGGAAAAGCCAACACCAAACTTAATATCTCCAGAATGTAACTGTTTATTTTTTCACCACTATATACTTCCTTGCCAGCATATCCTATACCAACATCTCTTTGGTTTTGATAAATTATTAATGGTCAATATTTAGAAAGAATTCCAGCAGATGTTCACGGAGGCTGGTTTCGAAATATATGAGCACTGTGAGAGGATTGAAATATTGGAATCTGTTCAGACTCCAGCAAAGAGAGAAGCAGAATCACGAAGATTACAAGTGAGTGAGCTAATGGAGAGGGTGCGGGATAGGTATTAGACGGTTGAGAATGGAGGTGATTCAGATGTAACCAAAACATTTATTGTATCTTTAAATTCATCATTAGATTCATTTTTTGTAAATTTATAGATTTTATTTATTCTTTTAATTATTAAATTAATATTACACTTTGTTATCTGGAAGATTATGAAGTTTTTTATAATCTGTCATTATAATAATCATTATGTATTTTCGTTATTGTTTCATATTATTACTATTATTGCATTATTATTTGTTTTCATTATTATTTCCTATCATTATTATTTCGTATTATTTGCTTTCGTTAGTTATTGGCATAATCTATGCTCTATATTCCCCTAAATATGTCTTATAATGAAATTTCTAGCGATTATCAGAAATCGAGTACATAGTCATATGATCAATATCACATGATCAGGATTGAGTGAATCCTGCTTGAATCTCTAAATCACGTGAAACTACCCTGCTTTAGTGGACCTCCATATTAGGAATTTGAAATTTGATTCGAGAAAAGTGATCTGTATTAAGTATGCAGGTTTAAAACATCAATCACAGGGACGCGCACACGTTCTTTTGTCTCCTTTGAATAACTTGACAATATAGACCCACAACTTACCTTGGAAGATATTCCTGATTGATTTTTCGCGTCATATGTAAAGAAGAATAGAAATGCCACGGATGACGAGATCATTAAGGCATATGTAGAGCAACAAGGTAAGTAAGCAATGAATACACATTTATTAGAGAATAATTGAAATGCATTACGACATGCATTGGGCTGGGATATAGAGCAGAGTCGTAGCATAGCTAGGTTATACATAAACTCGTTTCAATAGCGATAAGAAATAGTATGGGTTAATAGAGCAGCGAAGAGAGAATAGTCCGAATGCTGTTACAACACGAAATGCTTACTTGGAATAACTCATTTCGAAATACTGTTCACAACTAGTGCTACTATCTGCATTTCTTTCCATTTCTCGTCTTCTGTTTGATTAGGCAGAGGTATTACAAGCTCAACGATTAACCAAACTTATACTTATGTCTAGCTTATAGTGGCCCAGTACAACAAGCATCAGGGTTGAGTCAAACGCGTGAACTTGAGAAGGCCTTTAACGTCTCATTCCGAGATCCTGTCGGCTATCTACGTGTACTATGCCAACGGATACATCAAGTTGCAGACACCGATGACCACTTCAATTACTTGGCTATCATCCAGTCATCGGGGTATGGAAAGACAAGAGCAGGCTGTGAACTTGCGGCTGAATTCCCCTTTGTATATGTCTGTTTTCGCGAAAATGGCTCAACTGGATACTCTCCGGCCACCCCGAAGAGTATGGATATGCTAAGAAACATAAAAGAAGCAAGGAATGTAGATGAAGCTGAAGTTGAGGCACTGGGCTGGATTCGATCGATCATCTCAACGTTTCATGAGAAAAGAGAAGAATTTTGCAAGAAGGAACCGCAAGAGAGATACCAGCAAGCGTTGTTGAAAGACCAGGTAATGTAATTGTTTTACTTTCCAGGCATAATACAAATATACTCTGACATTTCTTTAGCAACAAGCCATAGATTTCTGGAATGCTGTCAATGCCAATCGTAAAAATGAAGAGTTGCCACAAACTAGGGAGAAGATAATTCTTTTTATCAATGAAGCCTCTGCTCTACTTTGTATGTATTGTCTCTAATTTCTGAGCAAATGCACAATCAATATTCATGCTTCTGACTCATCTTGTAGCTAAAAAAAAGGATCAAGGGGCTGTTACTGAAAAAAATCAGGCATTTAGAGCAGTTCGGCGTGCCCTACTCAGATATAAGACCTATATTACCGGTCTCTTGATAGATACAAATTCCTCAGTTGCCAACTTGGCACCTCAGATTGAACATGATCCTTCAGTATGTATTAACAATTAGCTTCGAACACTTTCTGAAACCCTTAATTGTGTTATTTAATTAATAAATTACAAAAATAAGACAAATCTATAACTGAAATTGATATCAATAATAACGTCTCTTAGGCGAGGGGCTCTGAAACCCTTAATTATGTTATTTAATTAATAAATTACAAAAATAAGACAAATCTATAACTGAAATTGACATCAATAATAACGTCTCTTAGGCGAGGGGCTCTAACCGTAAAGTCCATAAACCATTCATCTACTTGGCCACGATGGATTGCCTAAGGTTAGCTTTCTTTTTATCGTTTATGCCCGTGACTGCACACTCAATTATCAATGGGATTTGTAGTGCCGATATTTCACTCAATGAGAATGGTTCAGGTCATGATATCATTCGGTTTGGCAGACCGTTATGGGGTTCTCAGTGGCAATCAGCAGAGTCCTGGGAGACAAACCAAGAAAAATTTAACGATATTATATAATTTGCCAAGTTTAAGCTTCGTGGGGGAACGAATCAATGGGACCAGAACACTGAGATAAAAAGAAAAGTATCACTTGCTGTAATTGCTTGCATTGCCACTTTATATATCTCCCCAATCTCAAGCTTGGCACCTGATCTCGTCAAGTCGCATATGGCAACATTGATTCACATTGATGATGATCGCAAGAAACATCTGATAACTTACCCATCTGAGCCTGTATTGGCTGAAGCTGCACTGGAGGTGCTATCAGAGAATGGTGTAGAGCTTGGGGTGCTAACGGAACTGGATGCTGTCAACAAATCCAGTGGAATTCTTGATGCAGGGAGCCAGGGGGAGCTGGTTGTGAGATTGTTATTCTTGAGTGCATGGCGTCGGTTGATCTGCTCTGAGAGAAACAGGGAGAATAATAAGGTTTGTATCAAGTATTTTTATTCTGATCATTATTTGCATCGGCTTATTTTTGTCCATTTGCCTTGCAAGGTTTCGTTCTCAGTCAGATGTCCTCAAATTTCTTGAAGAGCTTTTTGAACTAAAGCTTCCAAAGGAGAAATTTTCCTACCTGAAAGACTTTGAAGTAGGATTTACCCACTTTATTGGACTTACAGAAAAACCAGACATATCAACACTCAAAAGCATTTGGGATCGGCGTGGTGCTATGCATTTTAAGAACAATCAAGAAGGTTCAGATCTTGGATTAGTTATTAGACATAAGGCGGATAAAGAACGTTTTGGAGTATTGGTGGTACATGTTTGTGTTATTATAATTCTGCGAAACGTTTTCGCCTTAGACAAAAAAGAAAATTAAAATGTAATACATAGGCCAAGAACCTTGCAGTTAAGCAGAACCAAATGGAAGAAACCTTTGTAGCAGGATGTCAGCTTGAGCCCAGGATTACCTTCTCCGAAGACTGTACTAACATTATTAAGGATAATTATCTGGCTATTTATGTTCACATTGGTGAGAAACCTTTGATCATAAATTTGATATAGTAATTTTTACAGGAAGCATAGAGTATTTTAGTAAACGC